TGGATCTTTAAAAATTCATCAAAGACTTCAAACTGGAGAGAAACCATACAGCTGTGACCAATGTGAGAAAACATTTTTTCGCTGCAGTGCCCTCAAAGCCCATCAACGCATTCACATTGAAGGGGAACTGTCCAGTTTTTTCCAAAGTGGGAAGGATTTCACAGAGTCAGGGACCTCAAAAAAACAAGAGAGAGCAGAGAAACTGTTTAGCTGTGATCAGTGTGAGAAAGCTTTCACCACTCTATGTAGCTTAAAAAGTCACCACTGTGTTCACACTGCAGAGAAGTCGCACTGCTGTGACCAATGTGGGAATACTTTTACGCAACGCATGTCCCTTGAAACTCGCCAAAGAATTCACACAGGAGAGAAACCGTACAGCTGTAATCAATGTGGCAAAGCTTTCACACAGTTAAATAGCTTGAAAACCCATCAAAGCAGTCACACAAGAGAGAAACCGTTAAGCTGTGATCAATGTGGCAAAGCTTTCACACAGTTAGATAGCTTGAAAACCCATCAACGCAGTCACACAGGAGAGAAACCGTACAGCTGTGATCAATGTGGCAAAGCTTTCACACAGTTAGGTAGCTTGAAAACCCATCAACGCAGTCACACAGGAGAGAAACCATACAGCTGTGATCAATGTGGCAAAGCCTTTGTACAGTCAGGGGCCTTAACATTCCACCAACGTATTCACACAGGAGAGAAGCCGTACAGCTGTGATCAATGTGGCAAAGCCTTTGCAAAGCCATGGACCTTAAAAACCCACCTACGTATTCACACAGGAGAGAAACTGTACAGCTGTGATCAATGTGGCAAAGCCTTTGCACAGTCAGGGGCCTTAAAATACCACCAACGTATTCACACAGGAGAGAAACCGTACAGCTGTGATCAATGTGGCAAAGCCTTTGCANTCCACAAGGTGGAGACATGTGGTGTGAAATTATGGGTCTATATCATTTTCCAGTAATGCAGTACCTGTTTATGGAAATCTGACAACTTAATAGGCAGTTTTGAAATCTCAAAATCACATTTCAACTATGTTGAAGTCTCCACCCATTATCACTTGATCTGAAGTGTAGGTTATTTTCCAATCATTCACAAGTTTACCTAGTTCTGCAAAGATGTCCCTGTCCGCAGCTTTATTATTCTAACCATAAATAATAATAATAATAATAATAATAATAATAATAATAATAAATAATGATGATGATGATAATAATGATAATACATTTTATTTATAAAGCGCTTTCCAAAGTTCTCAAAGTCACCTTACAGAATAGGTTAAAAACACATCAAAACGCAATTTACAGCAAAATACATCAAAGACAAAGAGGAATAGCAATGGGAGTGAAAAAGAAATAAATAGATGAATAAAAAAAGTAGCTGAACATTAAAAGCAGAACGTAACAGGTCAGTTTTGAGTAGTGATTTGAATAATGGGAGGTCAATGCAGTCACGGATGTGTTTTGGGAGGGAGTTCCAGAGGGTGGGGGCAGCAACAGAGAAGGCTCTGTCCCCCCAGGTTCTGTGCTTGGTCTTGGGGATGGTGAGCAGATTGGCATTGGAAGAGCGGAGGCTGCAGGAAGGGGTGTAAGGGTGGAGCAGGTCTGTGAGGTAAGAGGGGGCCTGGTTGTGGAGGGCTTTATGGGTGAGTAGGAGGAGTTTGAAGTGGATGCGTTGTGGGACAGGGAGCCAGTGGAGGTTCTGAAGGACAGGGGTGATGTGGTTGCGGGAGCGGGTGTGAGTGAGGAGGCGGGCGGCAGAGTTTTGGATATATTGGAGTTTATTGAGGAGTTTGGAGGTTGTGCCATAAAGGATGCTATTGCAATAGTCAAGGTGGGGTGTAATGAAGGCGTGGATCAGGGCTTCGGCGGCATTGCAAGAGAGTGAGCGGCGGAGGCGAGAAATGTTTTTAAGGTGAAAGAAGGCTGTTTTAGTGACTTGTTTGATGTGTTGGTCGTAGGAGAGGTTGCTGTCGAAGATGATACCAAGGTTGCGGCAGTGAGGGGAGTGGGACAGAGTGGAGTTGTCGATGGTGAGGTGGAAGTCTTTGGCTCTTTGGGTGAGGGAATTTGGAACAATTAGGATCATGTCGGATTTGTCACAGTTGAGTTTAAGAAAGTTTTCTTGCATCCAGGATTTAATTTCAGAGAGACAGTTTGACAGGGTGGAGTGGGTTAAATGGGTGATGGATTTAGTGGAGATGTATAGCTGGACATCATCAGCGTAGCATTGAAAACAGAGACCATGACGACGGATGATTTGACCAAGGGGGAGGAGGCAGAGGATGACAGGGTGGAGTGGGTTAAATGGGTGATGGATTTAGTGGAGATGTATAGCTGGACATCATCAGTGTAGCATTGAAAACAGAGACCATTATGACGGATGATTTGACCAAGGGGGAGGAGGTTAGAGAACTGTAGATGGTGTCAATTTTGGATTGAAAAAATTAGAGGAAGGAATTGCAGAGTAGACAGAGTGTTGGAAAGAGAAGCTGAGAAATCTTGAGGGGAGATGGATTTGAGGTTTCTGAATGATATTATGCATTTGTCCTTGGGGAGGGGGGTGGGGAGATGGATGTCCATGATGATAGCCAAGTGGTGGAGATATGGAGATTGATGCTGGAGAGTTGATGGATGGTGAGACCGGTGGAGCAGACTAACTCCAAAGTGTGGCCATGATTGTGACTGGGGAAGTTGACATGTTGAGTGAGATTGAGGCAGTCCAGTAGATCAAGAAATTCAAAGGCATGTTTGCAGTTAATGTTGTCAATGTGGTAGTTGAAGTCACCATGGAGAAGAACAGAAGGTGAGATGACAGAGAGCTGTATAACAAAATCAGAGAAGTGAGAGAGAAAAGATGGATTGGGCTTGGGAGAGCGGTAAATAACAGCAGTGACCAGGGGAGCAGGGCCGGGGAGTTTAAAAGCAATGTGTTTGAACGACTGAAAGGAGGGAGTGGATATGATGGTGATTCTTAGGTCTCTCTTATGGACTGAGGCCACACCGCCGCCTCTTCCAGTGAGACGGGGCTGGTCAATGTAAGTATATCGGGAGGGGGTGGCTTGGTTGAGTGAAAAATAGTCCAGATGTTTGTGCCAGGTTTCCGTGATGCAGAGGAAGACTAGTTTGTTGTCAGTAGTGACTTTGTTTAAGATGAGTGCTTTGTTGTTGAGTGAACGGGTGTTTAGCAGTACCAGTTTGAGGAAATGCTGCTGTGTGATTGGCTGTGAGGAATGGGGGAGTTGGTGGAGGTTGGGATTGCAACGTTTGACGTGTTTTGTTGAGAGGTTGACCCTCCTCCAGCCCCCCAGGTATCAAGTTTCACTCCAACACTGCACCTTCGACAAGAAGACGAGTTTCACGTGGTTCACAATGGGTAGATGCAAGTTTTGGATGGATGGCTTGACGATACCGTATATATATACTGGTTGGCCAAGGATTCCCAATTCACACACAGAGCTAGATGCAAGCTTTGTGTGAAATCGTTTGACATTGCCAACATGGGGGAGAAAGCTATTCTGAGCCACATGAAAGAAAAAAACACCAACGTCTCGTTACTGCATCGCTTGCACCCAGAGTCCCAACCTTTTTGCCTCAGCCCAGACATTGAACTTACCTGAGTTTTTATTTCAATGCCATTATGGTACTTGGCTACAATCGCCTATTAAGAATAATTAAATATGATGTGAAATATGATACACTGATATATTTACTCAGATGTCGCATATTCTCTGGGGGGAAAAAAAAGCCGAGAAGTCTGGAAATTAGGGTATGGAAAAGTATGGAATTTTGAAATTCCAAATGTGTAGGAACCCTGTAACCGATACTGATAACTGATAAATTGACATTTTTGTATTTTAAAAGAAGTGTATAACTTGTAGTTAATGTTCACCTGAGGGTCAGAAAGGCTGATTTAATATTCCACAGCTCTGACCGAATCAAATCAAACTGACTTCATTTGACACATTTTAATCAGTATTAAATGTAATGTTAACGTTAAGACAGAGGATAATGATGATGATGATGATGAAGCCCAGTGTTACTGTGTAATTCTCTGTATAAACTACACTGCAGAGTGGAGCCTCTACTAACAGACAAACACTGACAGCTGATGAACATCAACATTAGCAGCTCCGCCTTACATCTGCTGGATCACATGTTTATATCGTCACGCCCAGGCGCCGCCTCAACGTCCCATCATACACCAGCCTACAGCTACTGTTGATTCACCTCACACATTAACACTCAGCTCAGACACACACACGCAGTCAGAGAGGTAACGATACAAATAATGTCTAACTGTAGCACCACATGGCGAGCGGTTATTAATACGTTTAACTACAGAGGTGAGCCTTTTAAAAGCTCGGTGTTGGATGTTAGCCGCTGCTGCTAATTAGCTCGTGCTAACACTCTGGAGACGGTCCTTCAGCGCTGTGTCTATAAAGCGGGATATATAACCTGTTCACCGGTTCCAGGGAGTTTGTTGATCTGGGGGTTGTCGGGTGGTCAGACATCAGACCCTCGGTGTAATCCTGTTGTCTTCCTCTGAAACTGTGAAAGACATCCACACTGTGACGTGTTTTAACCTCTAGACTGCATGCTGCAATTGTTGTTCTTCTCTGTGTTTATTGGCGGCTTGCAAAGCAAGTTTAAAGGTACATGTAGCGCCACCCACTGTGTCGGGTGTGTAGATGCTGCCCTCGTTAAGGCAATGAAAGCAGTCTGGTCTGATTTATGACAAGTGGTTTATGTGGGTTATGAAAAGTAATTGACAAATATTTAAAGAAAATGAGAAGAGACTTTGGTGTGGTGGTTAGCCTGTACAGTCTTGGGGGAGACATGAGCACAAGTCAAGAATCTCAGGTCCAACCCAAAACCAATAAACCACTAAATTATCGAGAGAAGTATCAGTGAGAGTCGCATTGATAAGTAGTATTGGTATCAGTTCCTATCAAAAAGTCAAAACCTGAATAAAAACTATTCTGTAAGTTATTTGTCATAACATTTGTTGTAATGCATTAGTCAGACATTTTGGGTTATGTTTCTCAGACATGCTTTAAATGTTATTTATGGTTTTAGTTGGCTCGCTGCACCGTGACAACTCATTAACTCTTTTTCTGTTTGTTGCTATAGGAACAGAGAGGAAGAGAGGAACTTATACATCACCACCATGACAAATCCTTCACAACATCTGGATCTTTAAAAATTCATCAAAGACTTCAAACTGGAGAGAAACCATACAGCTGTGACCAATGTGAGAAAACATTTTTTCGCTGCAGTGCCCTCAAAGCCCATCAGCGCATTCACACTGAAGGGGAACTGTCCAGTTTTTTCCAAAGTGGGAAGGATTTCACAGAGTCAGGGACCTCAAAAAAACAAGAGAGAGCAGAGAAACTGTTTAGCTGTGATCAGTGTGAGAAAGCTTTCACCACTCTATGTAGCTTAAAAAGTCACCACTGTGTTCACACTGCAGAGAAGTCGCACTGCTGTGACCAATGTGGGAATACTTTTACGCAACGCATGTCCCTTGAAACTCGCCAAAGAATTCACACAGGAGAGAAACCGTACAGCTGTAATCAATGTGGCAAAGCTTTCACACAGTTAAATAGCTTGAAAACCCATCAAAGCAGTCACACAAGAGAGAAACCGTTAAGCTGTGATCAATGTGGCAAAGCTTTCACACAGTTAGATAGCTTGAAAACCCATCAACGCAGTCACACAGGAGAGAAACCGTACAGCTGTGATCAATGTGGCAAAGCTTTCACACAGTTAGGTAGCTTGAAAACCCATCAACGCAGTCACACAGGAGAGAAACCATACAGCTGTGATCAATGTGGCAAAGCCTTTGTACAGTCAGGGGCCTTAACATTCCACCAACGTATTCACACAGGAGAGAAGCCGTACAGCTGTGATCAATGTGGCAAAGCCTTTGCAAAGCCATGGACCTTAAAAACCCACCGACGTATTCACACAGGAGAGAAACTGTACAGCTGTGATCAATGTGGCAAAGCCTTTGCACAGTCAGGGGCCTTAAAATACCACCAACGTATTCACACAGGAGAGAAACCGTACAGCTGTGATCAATGTGGCAAAGCCTTTGCAAAGCTATGGACCTTAAAAAGCCACCAACGTATTCACACAGGAGAGAAACTGTACAGCTGTGATCAATGTGGCAAATCCTTTGTACAGTCAGGGGTCTTAAAAAGCCACCAACGTATTCACACAGGAGAGAAACCGTACAGCTGTGATCAATGTGGCAAAGCCTTTGCACGGTCAGGGGCCTTAGAATGCCACCAACGTATTCACACAGGAGAGAAGCCGTACTGGTGTGAACAATGTGGAAGATTGTTTGCCCAGTGCAGTCATTTGAGATCACACCAATGCCAGCATGCAGGAGAGAACCTGTACAGCTGTGACTAGTGTGAGAAAGCTTTTATTGAACGGTATGACCTAAAAATCCACCAACATGTTCACACCAGAGAGAACCCGTCCTGATGTGACCAATGTTGGTAGTTACATTAAAGCCCACAAATGTATTTACCCTGCATTGTTTTGGACATTTTCAGGGCCAGACAAACATCTTCCTACTGCTTCCTCCCCATGCCCTGAGAGCTGTGTTGATATCTTACTTTTGTCTTTGATTATTTATATCTGTTTTTTTTATTTCAACTGTAACCCTATGTTGGACCACCAGATTCCCCTCTGTAGGACTCCCATGTGTGAGAGCTGATGTAGAGGCAGATAATGTATTGTTATATATCAAATGTGAAAATAATGTCAGTTGCAAAAGGTCATAGAAATAGTTGACCAGATGTCAGATTTCGCAATAGGAAGGACTCCTTATAAGAAGTTGTTTTTGAATACTGTCGAGTTGTTGTACTTTGGAGTTACTGGGAAGGACTCATTTTAAAGAGTTGTTTTTGTAATGTTGAGTAATTCTTGTACGATCACAACCAACCTTCTACAACCAACAGAGATATGTCAACTACACATTTGAAGTTCTTAAGCAATTAGGTCAGCAACTGCATGAAACCAGTGCCATGGCATGATAGAATAGGCAAGCTTTACATTGGATTTTAGCAGAACTAGGGAGAGTATGTAAAATGTTCGGGATGCTCTATTGTACGTTTATTTCGAATAACACTTTGTCTGATGGAACATTTTCTTTTGCTATTTGAAGCCTTAAAATCTGAAATGACTGAAAATGCTGGTAAGAGTGGAAGAATCAAGTGGGATGGGTTAGAGGAAATCTTTGGAAAATGGGGAGCCGTTTTGGCTAAAACAGGGATAATTGTACTTATAGAACTAATTCTGTTTTCCTTATTGACATGTTGCATCATGCCTATCCTGACGAAATGGTGTGAGAGAGCGATGGACAAGAAGCTGAACCTTGTAATGGGCATACAAGGAGCACAAATGCTAAGTATGCTAACCCCTGAACAATTGGTGCGCAGAGTCCTTCTGGCACAGAGGGGGGAGGAAATACCAGATTTATTCCCAATTCCTGATTACATAGACAAATTCAAATGATGAGGAGGAACTGTGAGAGAGAGAGAGAGATGAACAATGGCTGTTATTCTCTCCTGGAAGAGAGGACGGGGAATATATACACCACAACCACATACAAGATATCACATAAACAAGAGACTGTGAACAGCATACTCCACCGCTCTGACACCATTTTCTATATTCATTTTTTTATTTTTTCTGTATTCATCTTTGTGTTTTTATTTTACAAGAGGGAAATGTACTCTGATTTCGACTTAGAAAGTTATGCATATTATCCAAAATGATTTCTGTGATTCCGTTATAATCTAATAAGTAAGTTGCATTTTATCTGGTGTATTTGATCCATCTGTTGAAAATTCATCTGTTAGGCCACCTAATGGGAGGGGGCCGATGGGGGACTTTTCCTGGATTCAACAGCTGCCAGGTTTTTCGTAGAGATGTACCAATACCACTTTTTCCTTCCCGATACCGATTCCGATCCCTGAACCTTAGGTATTTGCCGAGACCGAGTACCGATCCGATCCCAGCGCGTAATGTCTCAACTCCTAAACCTCTATGTAAAATATTAAGAAATAAATACACAATAGTAGAATGAATGCCATAAAACTTTTTTTATTATTATTATGATTTTAAAGACGACAGTAGAATGCTTTTTAAACTCTGCTCCATTTCCATTTCGTTTGCCTGTAGTGTGCGTATGCAAAATGACACGAGGCATTACGTGGTATCGGATTGGTCATAGGCTGTACTCGCTGACACCCAATACCGCATTTTAGGTAGTATCGGAGGCATTTCCGATACTGGTATCAGTATCGGTACAACTCTAGTTTTTCGCCTCCATCAGTTGAAGTGTTGATGGATGCTAAAAATATGTTTCAGTGTTTCATGTAATATCATATACTCATGCCAAGTTCATATATCACCATATTGTATGTGTTCTTATGCATTATCATATTCAAGTTTAAGAGTTTCACACAAGATCATATATTCCTGTTAGTAAGGAACACTGGTTGTATTCACATTGCTATATATCCTACTCATACTTATACAAACATAGGTGCTCATTTACCATATATTATCTCTGCAAGTAATTTATGATAAAATCATAAAGAGGATGGACTATGTAGAGGCAGATAATGTATTGTTCTATATCAAATGTGAAAATAATGTCAGTTGCAAAAGGTCTTAGAAACAGTTGACCAGATGTCATATTTCGCAATAGGAAGGACTCCTTATAAGAAGTTGTTTTTGAATACTGTCGAGTTGTTGTACTTTGGAGTTACTATGAAGGACTTCTTTTAAGGAGTTGTTTTTGTAATGTTGAGTAATTCTTGTACAGTCATTTCCAGGAAATCAAACTTGGCAGAATGGTTAGGTCCCAGACCCAGACACGAACGCACATGGACACACACACACACATGCACACAAACGAACAGACGCCCACTCACTCAGATAGCATAAAAGTTTCTGGAAGTTGTATGAGCAGGGCTGTTTCTGCTGTGTCCGCTGTTGACTACGACCTGTATTGTTGAGTTGTACTTTGCAATAAAAGTAATCTTGCTGGCTGTAACTTTTCTCCGTGGTTCTCCGAGTCTCTTCATTTCAGTGTTTGCTGAAGTTGAGCAGTTTCTGTACACTGACCTCAAACTTTTCAAAATCAATCATGCAACTGTCCGGGGCAATGTTGCGGCTCACAATGCACCCGACCCTGAAGCGTATCTCTGCCACTGGTGAGCCCACAGGATGGTGACTCCATATTGGTCTTTGGGACTGTGCCCCACCGAGCCCCATGAGTCAAGTCCATGTAGATATATATAGGCTGATTGACCAAATAAGCATTTGAAAACTGATATTGTTGCCTCTAACCATGGCTGTGATCAAAGTATTTGCATCAGCCTGAGACCTCTATCACAGACAGGCTCTGCAGTCTCAGACGCTGACTCAACATGCTGAATGAAATGTTTAGTGACTTGACTGATTTTTGGTCCCGTGTGCAGCTTCCCTCTCTAGCCTGCCTCCAGAAGGGGGCTCTGTTTCTGTTATCATGGCGAGGTGCTCCAGGTCTGATTCATCAGGGTCTGTTGACTCACTGTTAGTCTGGCCCCTCCCCTTGGACCACTTTGCCTCTCAAGACCCGGCCAGGAGCAACGGCTGGGACACCCCCTTGACCTTGTTTTTACTCTTGGCCCAACAATTAACTCCCTCTCACTGACTGATCTTGTCTTTGATCACAAATCACAAATTTGACTCCTACACCCAGGCAACTGCTCCAAGTCAGAAGCGCCCAGTATGTTCACGCATTTTAATAACCAGTCTGCCTCAAATTTCTCATCTATTTTTTCTGATTTATATAATCACCATATCCAACCCTCTAACATTAATGATTTGGTCGATAATTTCAATAATCTGTGTTCCTTTACATTGGATGCCATTGCACCTTTTACAACCAGGTCAGTAGCAGCCACGTGATCATCATCATGGATAAATGATGATATCCGTAGCTGTAAGCAGGAATGCAGGGCTGAGCGCAGATGGAAAAAGATACATACGTACAAGAAGACAATACATGAAAGAACTTTTAACTTTACTCAATCAAAAAATCAAGGATGCAAGATCAGTTTATTTCTCAGACTTAATTACCGCTAATAAACACAATCCCCAAGCTGTTTCGCACAATCAATCAGCTTGTACTACCTGCTCCCGCTACTATCTCTGCCACCTCATCTGAAGACTATGAATTGCATTTATCATTTTTTGTCAACAAGATCAATAGAATTAGATCCACCATTGTGCTCCCATCCACCACTTTTGATCCACCTTGTAGTGTTCCAGATTTACTAACCCATTTTGCCCCCACTACCATGCAATACTTTATAGAGACAATTTCTCATCTGCGCCTCTCTTCCTGCAATCTTGATATCTTACCCCCCAAATTCTTTTTAGAGGTCCTTCCTGTCATTGGCCCTGCTGTACTCACTATTATAAACATGTCCCTAACTCCTGGTTCTGTCCCTGATCAGTTTAAGAGTGTCCAGCCACTCCTAAAAAAAAAACCCGGCCAGGGCATCGGTAGCGTAGTGTATAGTGCCGGTGCCCCATGTACAGAGGCGATGCCTCGCTGCAGCGGCCGCAGGTTCGACTCCGGCTTGCAACCCTTTGCTGCATGTCACCCCCCCCGCTCTCTCTCTCACCCCATTTCACTCTGTCCTGTACATTAAAGGCAAAAGCCCAAAAAATAATCTTTAAAAAAAAAAAACCCGGCCTTGATCCAGCCATTTGGAACAATTTCAGACCCATCTCAAAATTACCTTTCATTTCCAAAATACTGGAAAAACTGGTTGCTGAGCAGCTTCTCCAAGTTGTTGAAGGAAATAATATTTTTGATAAATTTCAATCTGGTTTTCGTCAAAACCACAGTACTGAAACTGCTCCATTACTAGTCATGAATGACATCCTTATGCAAACTGATAAAGGGGAACTCTCCATCTTGGTCTTACTGGACTTGAGCGCTGCTTTTGACACCATTGATCACTCCATCCTCATCAGCCAACTGAATACATATGTTGGTATCTCAGGGAAAGCCCTACAATGGTTCAGGTCATATTTGTCAAACAGATGTTTTTCTGTCTCCATAGGTAACTATGTGTTCTCATCCACTCTGCTGTTACATGGGATGCCCCAGGGCTCAATCCTTGGTCCCATTCTTTTTTCATTTTATATGCTTCCCTTGGGCCAGATAATCAGTAGTTTTGGTTGTATCATTTGATTGGTTATCATTGCTATGCTGATGACACTCAGCTATATTTTCCAGTAAAGCCAGATGATCTTAGCAACCTAAACACTTTCCACAACTGTTTAGCTGCGATAAAGAACTGGGGGGTATTCCATCAACGTAGCTAAGAATATCCAGACAAAGGTGTAATCTTGAAGTTTGACTAAAGGCCAACTCCCAATCTAGCTCCAACCCGTTCCATCAAGTGAAATCAGCTGGCTCCAACTGACGC